GAGCACCGGGGGGTCTCGGGGCAGCGTTTGCCTCTTCGCGCTTGAGCGCCGCGTGGGGTTGGTGGGCCCTGCTGGGTCTGCGGGAGGCCCTTGGGCGCGCGTCCTCAGGGCTCTGTCTGGGTAACGCCTAATTCGCCTTTAACTTTTTCGGAGTTTTTGTATCTCGTAGGAAGTGAGCTGAAAGAAGAAAATGCTTAAGGGTTATTTTGACTTTTGGGCAGAGCAGGGGAAGTGTCAGGGTTATTTGTACAGCAAGCTTTCAGCAGAATAATGCCAAGTGTTTCCCTGTAGAAGTATCCGAGTACCTGCTGCATCTGGTTTCACTTTCTCTTGCAGTGAGCTGAAGAGACGTTTAAAGGCTGAGAGGAAAATAGCTGAAAAAGAGGCAAAGCAGAAGGAGCAAAGTGAAAAGCATTCAAATAAGCCTTCATTGACTTCTGACTCTGAGAATAACGTTGTTGCTGATGAGGAAAGCTTGGATCCAAATGTGAGCCCTTGGCCTCATGCTCATTTCTGTGCTGAGAATGTTACTGATTGACATTTGATTTTTTTTTATTCAAGGGGAACTAAGTGGTTGAAAGGGGAGAGACCTACATGTTCCTACATAAGGGCAGCTGTGTTTTAATTTACAACCTGTAAAATATTTTTAGTTTCTAACGAAATCGTTTGGTTTGTTTCTGGTTGTAGCAATACTACAAGATCCGTAGCCATGCGATCCAGCAGCTGAAGGGCACCAGTGAAGACCCTTATCCCCACAAGTTCCATGTAGACTTATCTCTCTCAGATTTTATAGAGAAGTACAGTCACCTGCAACCAGGAGATCACCTGACAGACATTACAGTGAGAGTGGCAGGTAAAGGCTTATCTGAGATACAGAAAGATGATCTGTTGCTTTGCTAAGTCAGTTCTTAACTGCTTTTAGTGATGGGGTGGCCTCTTTCTGGATTTTGCTGATCCCCTGTTACTTGGTCATGAAGTCTGTAGCAGTGTTAGACTATTCAGGACATGTCCTTTTAGACTGAGTGGAATTGTGCAGTATCCTTTACAAGATCAGCTTGTGATACGGGCTCTGGGATCCAAAGTTCTTACGGTCTTTTGTGCACTGGTAGTAATTTTGAGGCTTAGCCGTCCCTCTTTCGTGGTTAGTAGTCAGTTCAGAGTTGATGAGCCTTTCCCAAGTGATAAATACTGTGGCTCTTGGCCCTGTATCCTTTCTGCTAAGGACTCTTCCTGATGTCCTGTATACTTTGATATTTAGGTCGAATCCATGCAAAGCGTGCCTCTGGAGGGAAGCTGATTTTCTACGATCTTCGTGGTGAAGGAGTCAAGTTGCAGGTCATGGCAAATTCCAGGTAGAGGTATTCCCAGTAGCATTCTAAACTGAACTGCATTCTAAGGCCTAGAGATCTGTATTTGGATATTCTATTCCTTCATCTCCTTAGGCTATTCATCTGTGGGTTGGTTTAGGCAGCCAGGTAGTGTTTTGCTTAGGATGTTGTGATTGACTTCCCTGCTAGAATAATCTTTTTTATTTTAAAGGATTAGGTCTGGTGAGAGACTTGCAGGGCAGTTTGGAATGTTGAATTTTATACAAACATGCTTACATTGTTTTTTGTAATTACAGGCTCTACAAATCCGAGGAAGAGTATTTCCGTGTTAACAACAAGCTGCGTCGTGGGGACATTATTGGTGTAGAGGGGAATCCTGGGAAAACAAAGAAAGGGGAACTGAGTGTTATTCCTTATGAAATAACTCTGTTGTCTCCATGCCTGCACATGTTGCCTCATCTTCACTTTGGCCTCAAAGATAAGGTACTTGTTATACCTGTCACTCTTGGAGGCAGTTTGACAGATCGGTCTGAACGGATGATCTTTTATGTCTGCTGATGGTATTAGTCAACAAAGAAACATTAGTTTTGCTATTGTTTTCCTTTGGCAGCACATTTTGTCTAGCTTGTTCTAAAGATACTTGTTCTTTTCAGGAAACTAGGTATCGTCAGAGATACTTGGATTTAATACTTAATGATTATGTGAGGCAGAAATTTATAACCCGTGCAAAGATAATTACATATATTCGGAGCTTTCTAGACGAGTTGGGCTTCCTTGAGGTAAGACTTAAGTGACTATTTCTCTCTGTGTATTGGATGTGTTTAGAGCTTTTTGGCTTCAAGGATGCTTTTTATGCAGGCTCATGTGCAAAGTATTTACAGAAGTGAGAATAATTACCTCAGCACGGTCTTTTATCAGTTTAATGTAGTGGGAACCATTCCTTTCCTCTCTTTCTAAAGTTAAGACTGTTGCTTAGTTGGTGAGGTTATGACTTGGGAAACTTCTGTCAGGGTAGTACTTCAAACTACTGCTGTCCTTATTTCAGTAAATTAAGGTGGAAGTAAAGTCTTTGAAATGGTGTTTTGCCTCTGGAGGTAAATGCAGGTTTTACTTCCTGTAAGTAAAATTGATTTTATCTTGAAATCTGTTGCAGAATAGTATATGAGAAATTAATAGTAGCTCTGCTCTGTTGCATCCAGATTCTTGGCTGTACTTTACAGTTCGCAAAAAGATTAGAACTTAATGTAGTTTATTTACAAGTGTTTATCAGCTAATCTGCAAAAGCTGCTAGTGGGGTTTTTTTGAGGGCAGTGGGAATCTGAACCTGTGCCGTGTCATTTCTGTCATAACTTAATCAAAAAGGACAGTAAGAGTCCTCAATTTATAAGAAGCTTTGACTGTTGTTGGAATAATGAAGTTGCTTGGGCTTGGCAAGAATGCCACTTTATATACTGAAAGGCTGCAGGAAGGTCTCCCCGGAGCCTTCTCTTCTCCTGGCTGAACAGCCCCAGGTCTCAGCCTTGCTTCACAGAGGGGTGCTCCAGACGGCTGACCATTTCCGTGGCCTTCTCTGGCCCTGCTCTAAGAAGTCCACCTTTTACTGGGGACCCCAGAGCTGGATCCAGTGCTCCAGGTGGGGCCTCCCAAGAGCAGAGTAGAGGGGGACAATCCTCTCCCTTGCCCTGCTGCCCACACTTCTGATGCAGCCCAGGAGATGGTTGGCTTTCTGGGCGGCCAGTGCACATTGCAAGCTCGTGTCCAATTTTTCTCAGACCAGTATCCCCAAGTCCTCCTCAGGGCTGCTCTCAATCCCTTCATCCTCTAGGCTCATTGATACTGGGGCTTGCCCTGACCCAGGTGCAGGAGCCTGCACATGGCCTTGTTGAACTGCATTTTCTGCAACGTAGAGAGATGGTTTTGTGACAGTGCCACAGCCCAGTTCCTGGCTTTGATAACATGAACCCAGCAGGTTTACATTTATAGTAAATATGAATGATTCTTGGCAACAACAAATAGTTTTAATAATTTGTCTTTACTAACTGCGTGGGAGAAATGCTCTTTAGATCAGAATTGTTTTCATATACTGGAATGTCCATAAATGAAATACAGAGATTTTTTCATCAAAGCTAGCTGTGGTTTGTTTGCTTGATCTACAGAGTTCTGCTTTGGAAACAGATCAGATGACAGCAGAGTCATGGAAATATTCATGCCAGTGTTAATTTTTTCTGTTACTACATTTTACAGATTGAAACTCCCATGATGAATATAATTCCAGGTGGAGCTGTGGCAAAACCTTTTATCACATACCACAATGAACTGGATATGAATTTATACATGAGAATTGCTCCAGAACTTTACCATAAGGTAAAATATAAGTGCCTCACGACTAAGTTTATATTCTCCAGACTGTTGTGATCTTATTCTAAAAAAGTAAATGTAACTAAAATAAGGATTATTCTTGAAAAAAGGTGGAGTCATTGCATTGGAGGAAACAAAATGTATCTCGAATTTGATTTGTGCGGTCGAATAGCAGTTGTTTGTGTTTGAACTCTCTTTTTAGTTCTTTTGAAAAAAGTTAATGTGTTTACTGGAATTTCCTTTTCTTTAGATGTTGGTGGTTGGGGGCCTGGACAGAGTATATGAAATTGGGCGTCAGTTCCGGAATGAAGGGATTGATTTGACTCATAACCCTGAGTTCACAACTTGTGAATTCTATATGGCTTATGCAGACTACCATGACTTGATGGAAATTACAGAGAAGTTGCTTTCAGGTGACGTATGCAATATTAATTCAAAAAGAGTAAGAATCTCTGGAAGAATTGCATATTATGTGGCATACTCTTCTTCTAAACTTCAGGTTCCTTTTGTAGGGATGGTGAAACATATTACCGGAAGTTACAAGGTGACTTACCATCCAGACGGTCAAGATGGACAAGCCTATGAGATAGATTTTACCCCTCCCTTCCGGCGAATTAACATGGTGTATGATCTGGAAAAGGCCCTAGGAGTGACATTTCCTCCAGCTGAGCATTTTGAAACTGAAGGTTAGATGCTGAGTATGAATGTCCTATAATTCTTCCTTAACAGAAAGAGGCCAAAAGGTCTCGAGTTCTCAGCCTGCAGTCTGTTAGTGGCTTTTTTGAGGTGGTACTAACACATGGGATTGCTTTTGGCTGTTTCCGAAGAGTCTAGAAAGAAGGCTTCATGCCTTGCAGCCTTTGGCAGGATCTAACTCTTTTGCCTCTTCCTTTGTTGAGTATATATGATGTTATGGACCCAAGAGGCATGATGTGGGAGGTTCTTGGTCTGTTGAAGAGACCCAGCTTTTATTTCTTCTGTCTTTTGTGCAGTTGATGCCTGTGATCATAGGTTAGGAGTATTTTGGGCTTTCTTCAGAATGTGCATATGTGCTATTTTATTCCTGGAATCTAGAGCCATAAGGAAACAAGTTCATATGCTTTGTAGTGATGTTTGTTACTGTTCCAATTTTTTTTCCCCCAGATAACAGTAATGTCCAGCAGTTTTGTGGGGTTGTGCTTAACTGTTGTCAAGTTTCTGAAATATAAAATAACTTATATTTTAGTGTAAACTGATTAAAAGCAAACACTATTTTTGTAGATTGACATTTAAGCTCAGGTTTTCTATGATGTACGCTGTTAAGATCTTATAAACCACTCTAAGACACATCGATGGATGCAGAAAGAAAAAAACATGGTTGCCTAGGTGGCTTTTCAATGTCTGTCTACAACAATTTCAGAAACTCGCAAGTTCTTTGACGACCTTTGTGCAGAGAGAAATGTTGAGTGTCCACCTCCCAGGACAACAGCTAGGCTTCTTGACAGAGTAAGTAAAGGGGATGTTTTTATAATCCTGATGTCTTTGAGGATCTACCTGTATCAACAGAAGTCTCTTCAGAGCAAGATTTTGGCTGCATCTGGGAAAACATGCAGAAATGAGCTTCAGCTCTTTCTGTATCACAGTGAAAAAACTTGTGAAGAGAGGGAAGCAGGATGTTTGGGGAAGGCAGTGCTAGGAAAGTGAAACTGTACTCTGCGTAACTGTTTTGCTTTTGTTTTCCCAGTTAGTTGGTGAATTCCTGGAAGTCACTTGTATCAACCCTACATTCATCTGTGATCACCCACAGATCATGAGTCCTCTAGCCAAATGGTAAGAACAGGAGACACAGTCAATATGTAACTCTTAAACCCTCTACTTCTGCTTTATTAAAAAGAGAAAAAAAAAAAAAAGTCACATATGTGAAAACAGATTTTGATGTTGCATACTAGTTTGTGAATTCTGACATCACCCAAGACAGACTGAGCTGTGAACTCATTGTCCAGGGAAGAGGTGTGCTGATGCTTAGTGGTGTGAAGTTTTGACAGCTAAGCATGGGCAGTTCTCCTGAAGTAATGTATTTGCTCTTTGCTTCTGTAAAGATGTTTATTTTAAGGTGTGGCTGGTTTGTCATCTTCACGTAGGCATCGCTCTCATCTGGGACTAACAGAACGCTTCGAACTCTTTGTCATGAGGAAGGAAGTGTGCAATGCATACACTGAACTTAACGACCCCTTCCGGCAACGGCAGCTTTTTGAGGATCAGGCCAAGGTACAGTGTCTTGGTGATAGTGAGTCGGTGATATAGGCCTGTAAGCAAAGAATATTTCCTGTGTCTATTCCAAATCCGACATTAGTCCCTGCTGAAAAGCATTGTTACTACTTTGAGCAAATGTGTCTCGGTCAAATGAAAGCCTGTCATTAAAACTTAATTCCTTTTAAAGGAACCTTGCTCTCCGGACTACACAAGTCCAAGCAGTGCTGTTGGTTAGTTTTTTAGTAGTGTGACTTTGTTTTGGAATATCTTTCCTTTTATTCTACCTGAAATGCTAATCTGAAAACAAATCTGCAAAGCATTTTCTGTTTTGCTGAGGTTGAAAGTTATTTTTCCTCGCTTAAGCATTTATGTAGTCATACAACATTATACTTCTAGGTTCTTAAATAAATTTTCATGTCTGGTGAGAGTTTGAAGAGGTAAGAAATAGTGTAATTTCCTGAACTGAGTTATTACTGTTTTAAATTGGCTCACAGAATGAGCTGCAGACTGGAAGTTATTAGGCCTGCAGATTTATAGTACTAGGTTTCTCTAGATAAGCCTCAGAAAGGAGTGACTGAAACTGATTTTGTTATTAATTAGATATACTCATCCATGAATGCACAGGTGCCCACATGTAATTGAGGTCAGACAATGCAGTCTGCAGAAACAGAGTTCCTGTTCTTCCTGCTCTTTCTGATGGCTTCACAGTGCCTAAGAGGATTAAAAAATTGTCAAAACCAGAAAAATAGACTTATGTCAACTAATTTACTTGATAGCAAATTTCAAAATTAATAATACTACAGATGTCTTTTGCCTTTGGTCTGTTTTATATATGTTTGCTACAGTTGTGTCTCATGATTATAGCCAGACTTTGCAGACATATGATTATATATATTGAATGAAAATTTGCCTGTAATTTTTAATGTTAAGATGAAAATCGAAATGAAGGATGGCAGCTCACATTTCAGGATTTCAGACTGGCAGAAAAGTTTGCTACAGTCTGCTTTTGCAAAGTCTTCCTTGAAACTGTGAGCAAAAATGTTTGTTGTTTCAAAACTGAGCACTTTTTAAATTTCAGTGGGTGGGCTAGTCTGTGTTTTTATTATGACTTCTGGACTTGGAGGCTGTCAGGGTCAGATGCATTAGTTACCATCTTCAGTGTAGGGTTTTTTAATCTTTTTACTTGAGGGGAGAAAGAGCAATCCCTAAACTTTGTTTCATGGAGCAACTACTGTTCCAACAATTTAAACAATCATACTCAGTTGTTTCTGCAAGCAGTAAAGAACCTGAGAAGCCTCTGAAAGCAGTTTATTCCACTGTCATCTGCTGCCACACGGCCCTGGAGATGGCTTTTACTGAAGTGAAGGGCCCAGGCCTTTGCTTAGAAAGGACACTTGCAGATGAGAGGAGCTGAGCCTTGGGCGCTATTGGAAGCACCTGTACAGGTAACTGCCACAGTTCCCCAGGTGCTGAGATTCTTTCATCTGTTACTTATGCAGCTGTGCAGGGCTTTGGTTTCATCAGTGACACAGCTGCTACAAATGCCAATATCCCTCCTTTTGGTAGGAGTTGGCAGAAGCTGCACTATGTAGCTCTGTACAACCCACCTTTTATTTTTCTCAATTAGGCAAAAGCTGCAGGTGATGATGAAGCCATGTTTATTGATGAAAACTTCTGCACTGCACTGGAATATGGCCTTCCTCCTACAGCTGGCTGGGGCATGGGAATCGACCGCTTCACCATGTTTCTCACGGATTCCAGTAACATCAAGGTAAACTTTAGAAACGGTGGCACCTGTCACTGGCTTTCCCAGAGAATGAAATTCTGCAAAGCAGAACAACGAGCAAAACAAAACAGTGAGCAGAGTGTGCAGTGGTGGGGACCATAGCTAGGAGGAGGAGGAATTCCCCTTCGCTGTGCTTAGAAACCTCTGCAGAGCCCGGGCTGGCGCTGCCCGGGCCCGAGCGAGGGGCGTCCCCCCGCGGGCCGGCCCTGGCGCCGCTGACCGCGTCCCTTTCCGCAGGAGGTGCTGCTCTTCCCGGCCATGAAACCGGAGGATAACAAGAAGGAGGCGCAGCCCGACCAGCCCGCCGAGGGTACCTCCGTGTGAAGCCCGCGGCGGCGCGGACCGTGAATAAACGTCCCGCTTTTTACCGCCCGTGTCTGTCTCTATGTGCGCCTGCGCGGAGCGACCGTTCCCGGCGGCCCCCGCGCGCGGCTGCGCGGCTGGGCCGGGGGGTGGCGGGGGCCGTTAACCGGCGGGGAGCGGCCTGCGCCGGGCTCGCGGGCAAGACA